CTATATATATAGACACACATAAAAAAATATATGTATCAATATAAAAAAACACCAAATATCAAGGGATAGTTTAGTTTGGACCACACATAGACCTGAGAGACAGCAGTAATTTTATATTTTGCTTTCCATGAGTCTTTGGAAACTCATACACCAGAGCCATTAAACTATAATGAATACTGTATTTGTTCATTCTTATGTTTTCTGAGCAACTTGTTGTCTATATCACTAAACCTGTTGCCTTTACCAAGCTTTCTGTACTTTATTAAGAGTCTTTAAATGATAACTTAAATGACAGAGAACAGGCTGTTCTATGAGAAACCTCTGTTTTCTTCATTTTTTGGAAAGCAAAATAACTGCAAATGAGTTTTTCTTTCAGAGACACTGGTAGGAATTCTTACTGCGATGATAGAATGAACATTTTTTGGTTTTTTTTCTTAAACACTGGCTTCACTTCTCAACCAAAGCAGACAGCGTGCTGAAAGCTACCAGTGGCACTGGATGCAGCTCCAAAGACTATCAAGAGCTATCTGAAATGAAATTTTGAAATGGCTCAGAAGCTCTTAATCACAATCTTCTTTCAATTTCATGCAACTGTAAAAATAAAAATAAAACTATGATCTGTTTAACTCTGAGAACTGTTGTAACAGTCTGTGGCCTTATGAATAGCGCCTTGAGAGGGAAAGTAAAATGCCTGATTTCCCACAATAACAGCAGTGAGATAAAATTTGCTCAACAGCCCCATTTATCATCATAAGAATTCAATATCCAGGACATTTTCTCTTCACTGTGCTTGAATTCGGAGAAAGACGAGATAAGGTTAGAAAAACACAGCAGAGATTACTTGTCACTTTAAAGCATCTCCCTGTGTTAACTGTTTTGTGCTGTAGGCTCTAAAATACCAGAACATCCTCCCGGACTGTGCTGAGAAGTAGCAGCTGAGCAGTTCTGTGATAAAGTACATTGTAACTCAAGTGAGTGCTAGCTACAAGTGTTTGCAAGTATTAAGAATAATACAGTAAGCAAAGCTAAACCGTTCCTAAAGCAAAGGGCTGACAGCTCAGGTGGGTGGAGAGCCATAAAGATTAAGAGTGTAATAAGGCAACACAGCTTTCTGTGCAGTGTAACAGAGCTGAAGCAAAAGTGGCAAAACAATGCTCAGAGCAAAAGCAATCTAAAACAATATTAATCTTCTAGTACCTAACTACTCTCTCCCTTCTTACTGCTTTTTTCATTGCTCCAGGATAAGCATCAAGTGCCTCAGTCAATCCTATTCCCTTAACCTGAGACATCCTAAATATGGGTGAGGGATTACAAGCCTGGGATAGTACAAGTCAGGGCTGAAAAAAACATGTTCTCCAGTAAACCTGGGGGCTGCCATCTACCAGTAAGAAGTGGTCTATCTACTTTGGTTCCTCAGTTTCCAGGCTGAAGCTTCCCAAGATTTAACTCTCTATAGTACACCAGAAAAATGTCAATGCAATTGCACAGGTGAAACGAGAGATGAGCCAAAGACAATCTAATAACTAGAATCAACAGTCTAGGAAGCTTAAAATTTGGCTGCAGTGAGCACCTTAAACTCAGCAGAGAGCTATGTAACATACTCTACCCAATTTGCTCCTCTCTTCCAGGCTCCTGAAGCAACATAAATCACACTGAAAGATCTTTACAGGGTCAAAACAGAATTGAAAAGTGATTTCAAATATTATGTTACTAAGCAGTAGCACACCATTGGAAAATCAAATGAAATTTATGTCTCATCACAGATAAGGAGTCTGTTAAGATAGTCCCAGAGAGCACTTCTGGAGCACAGAGCAGAACAGAGTTTATTACAGATTATTAGCAACTAAGCATTTCCTTTGTGTGCTTTTTACTGCCTAACCATCACCCAATGCATATGAATACCAACTCAAATTTTGGCTTATCAACACTGCAGTATTGTAATATAACTGAGAGAGAGAGTAAATACGTTCTCAAAAACATGGATATGGGTGAGATAATTTTTGGTTACCTAATTTAAAACAATAGGCTTTTTAAAAGCTATACTGACACAGTATCAGATGTTAAACTGTAACTTTTAGATCACCAAAAATACAGCTGCAAGTACTGTATCCAGATACTGTATCAAAACATAAAGAAAAGTAGAGTAGAAAGTAATGATCCATTTTGCTCCTGGCCACGTGTCCAACAGTGGAAACATTTATGCAAGGAGAAAACTCTGGTAATTTATGGGATCATTTTTCCTTTTAACTTCTCCAGCATTCAGTTGAGAGAGCATGGCCCCCTGTCGAACAAGACTGCCGTGTGTCATACCAGGAAACACTGCAATTATTGTCAGTTCAAATAGTTTTGCTGTAATACAGAATTACAATGTTTCAAATTTTTTTCTAGGCTACTGCCAGAAATATGTCTAACACAAATTGAAGCAAAACTGGTTTTTGTTTTGCTATTACTCCAGTAACATACATGAAATATCAGTTTTCAATTAGTGCCCTTTCATTATTCCCTGTTTGACTATTTTGGATGAAGAGGGATCTTATGCTCAGGAAACAGCACAATTAAATATCATTATTCAAGCTCTCTGCAGATCTTTCCAACTTTTCTCAATAAAAATACAGAAAAGGTAGGACCAGTAATTCTAATATTTGCTGTACAGAAAGTGCACATGAGTAGAATGAAAAAAGCCAGAAAAAAAAAATTCTAAGGCTGACAGACCACTGTAAAGCATCAGTGAAAAGCTTGGGCAAACTTTGTTTCTGCTTCATGGATTCACAAACTGAGATCTAAACAAGGTTTGCAATGATAAAAATAAATAAACCGATATTTTCCTGGACAGTGTTTGCCCTCTAGGACAAACACTTGGTGATATTGACTGTCTGGCAAGGAGAATGACAGTTTGAATCACAGAAGTTTATCAAAAAAGCCATTTTCCTTTCCTCCCACTTGGCAAAAGACAACATTATCTTAGCAGAGCAGGTTTCAGAACTTGGGCTTTTCAAGAACTATGAATTCTTACCTGTGTGTTGCTATAAAAGCACAGACACTGAGAATCACCCCAAAATATAGTATCTTCAGCCTGAAATTGTGTTTGCAACCAAGACCGGACATTGCCACATCACCAACTTTGGCACACAGGCGGACAAACCAGAGTGTGCAGAGGCCAGTACTGGAAGACACCATTCCCTTGGGTTTAGCAAAGCACTGTGATGTTTTGCCTTCATCTGTTCCACAGAAACCTGGGGCTGGAAAGTCATAGTCAGAGGGTCTCCGGGGGATGCATGGGGCTTCCCACTCCACAGCTGACATAACCTTATGCCTGCCTCAATTCCAGGCCCTGCACATGTGCCTCTTGGGTGACAGTTCCTTTAGACAGACAGCCTTACAAAGCTAAAATGACCCGGGAGCAATCAAGCACAATCATGTAATGAATGACAAGGAAAAAGAAAACTCTCATATTTTGTGTACTCCAAGAAAAAAACCCTTCCTGAGCTTACTTAGCCATACCTGACTTCACATTTGACAGCCATTTATCACTTCCTACCTCTACCCCAACACACAAATCAAAGGGAATCCTGAATGCACAATCTGGGACTGAGTCCATACGGAAAAAATGTAGGACATACAGCCTTGGCATACAAGAAGAGACTCCTATTTAATCTATCATGTGTAAAGCAGAGAAGATTTTACCACAGATTACTGGTAGTGTAATGGACAAGGAATACATCCTGCTAGGTTAGACAACCAAAATGTTCATTTCTTAATAGGAAATGTATGGACCATTCAACTGCATGGATAACTAGTACTGGCCAATTCTTGAAACTACTAATTGTTGCAATCTCACTCTGCTGGTATCCAGGAGATTCTTCAATTTTATGGCCTCTGAATGTACAACAGAATAACAATTCTGACCTTGGATATTAAAATAACATGCTGAAACAATCAATGGCTGCTGCCATACCCAAATGTTTACCATACACAGATCCCCTGTTTCCAAGCTCACAAGACACAAAGCGAGCAGACAGTAACAAGTGCATACTTATTTCCTAACATCTAGAGGAGTTTTCAGCAGTTGTGCATCAGTGTAACTCCACTAAAATCTATTACGTGATTTTGGCTTATGACCATGTTCTTTCTGGCTCCAAAACTCTAAAATAACATTATTTTTCAGTAAACATAACTCAGGAACACTAATTAAACAGCCCTTACTTAAAACAGGAAGTATGGACAAACAAAAGCTACCTGATTTCATGTTACAAACTGTTTAGGACACTCAGTCCCACTAAGACAATGATTTTTCTATAACTGTCAGAACAAACTCCGACTCAGTTATGCTCACTGCTCAACAGCTGGTTACTTTAGATTTGCATCAATACACAACTGATGGACTATGTAACTACAAGTGAAGACAGAAGCATCGTGAAAAGGCTGAGTTGCTGTGTCATATCATCACGAATTCAGTTGCCTGTGTATCGCATTTGTAAAAATCCTAGTCTCCAGACACATAATAGATACATATCACAATGTAAAATGCCTGCAACAATGTTTTCGTAGGAAAACTTCAGTGAATGCTGAAAACTTCCACGATAACATAGAGAAGAACACTGGAGAAAACTCTGAATGCTCACTCCAAATTTTACAGGTTTTCACCACTGGAAATCTTACTTTTTGCTGAAGATTTTTATTGTTTTTTAAGCCAACAAGATTTTATATAATGATTCTAACTACTCCAGACTAAGTTGATGAAATTTCTTTAAACATCTAATTTAATTTAAACAATGATTCACTGTTTAAAGATCCAATGACATTTCCTGCCTTGATCTAAATTTAATACAATTGAAAGAAACTGAGCACTCCAAGAAGTCATCCATTGTTATATTTAATATAATGGAGAGTCATGCAACTACAGAATATAAACCTTTACTCTGAAAGGGTTTATGGGCCCCAGGAATCGCTCTTTTTCCTAACAGTAACACCTTTATACTAAAATAGCACCTATTCCTTACCTGAAAAGAGTTCATGCATCGAAGAGAAGGTGGAAGAGATGCAGTGCTCAAACCCAGCATTAGCAGTAATTCCAAGCATGTTTCTGATGGAAACTTCAAAGGATGAACTCCCAAATCATTTTCCCATGCATCAGCAAGGCTATAAAGTTTGAAAAAAAAAAAAAAAAGAACTTTGTCATTTTCTTAAACTATATCTAAACTGTAAGTTTCAAGTATTAGAATTTGTCATATTATAGTGAAAAAAAAAAAACAAACACCTCCTTTCACATTTTCCTTGTAAAAGTCAGTGTGTTTTACCCAAAAGACAAGGTGAATTTAGATAGAACACCTTAACCATATCACCAACTGTTAAAAAAAAATGTGAAAGGAAAACTTAGCATACGTAAGAGAAATTCGCTCATGTTTCTAATGCAAAATTTCCTTCCTTTAGAACAAAATTTCATCTGTAACTGGTAATTTCTCAAACTGATGTTTCTGATGCTCACACTGGAAACTTACTAACAGTCTACATCAAGTAAAAACCCAAATTCCAGTTCATTTTATACAGCTTTCTGCTTCAGATGTATTAAAAGAGTAAAGATTTCTAGAGCTTTATGAATAAAGGTTTCTAAAGCACATTCCTATAATCCGTTCCCATTACCACATGCTGAAGAACAAGATTAGTTCAATATGATTTACTCGAAACACAAGACCATTCCACTTCCTATTGTTCAGGTTTATTTCTTCCATAATGTACAAATTGACAGACTGATCAGTGATCCAGTTACTTTATTAATTTTGTCTTCCATTTTAGCTCATGAGCATCTAGTATCAGATACTCCAAAGTAAGATGGATGTCAATTATTCTCAGCAGACCCAAGAGCGTCACTTTGGAAGACAATGTTAGCTGGCCTTCCATGTCCAAGACTTCAAAATTTCAATAAATAATTTTAGAATCAGCTTTCACTTTTGAATTCCTCCAGCTCTTCCAACTGAACCACTGCTTGTGAACATATCAACTTATTTTAGCGTACTATCTAGAAGTAGCTGAGTTTTTTAAACATCCAGAAGAGCAGTAATGACACCAATATTCAGAATGGTGAAAACTAGGCAAATACACACTATCTGTGTCCTTCTGAACGGTTCTCATTCTCTCAGGTCTCCCAAACCCAACAATTCTCTGTAAAGTCCTGCTTCTTACACATAGGAGTGCTTACATACTTTTTGTACATAGCACCTTCTTAGCTCTTCTAGAAACAATCCTATTTAGTGTAATTTACATATCTTTCCTCAAAGAGTGGGTGTATTTTCACTTTCTTACCTCCATTTGTTGGAAATGGCCTCTTGAATTTCAACTCTGGGTTTTTTCTTTCCTAACATCTACATTTGTTCCTCCTTCCTCACTTATCTACAGGTATGTAAGAATCCAATTCTGCTTCAGTACATAGAAGCAAGACCTATAACACACTCAAGGTCAGAGGAGCTTCCTTCTACCTAAAAACAGGAGTATTTTCTCTCACTCTTTTTTTTTATCCACACTAAAAAACAATCATATCACAACTAGATTACCAAATACACGGTGTCTTTTCTCAAACTTCACTAGAGTGGGTCACTTTGACCAAAGAAGGTCTAAGCTTTACACAGTAAGGAGAAGGAGGAAGGCAGTTTGGTCTAGGCACCCTCTGACTCCTCTAACAGCAGTGCACCATTTAAGATCTGCACACGTCTGAGATGCTACCAAAGGACAGAGGCCAAAACCTGCCACACACTAACAGCCTTTATAATATGTACTATCTCACTGGACAATTATACTGTGCCACAAAGATCTGGAAAAGGTGTTTAAAGCTACTGCAAAAGAAACCCCCAACTGTCTGCTAGGATCAGAAGGTGAAAAGTTTAGAAGACACCCTGGAGTATTTTCACTATTGAAAGATACAAGCCTTCAGTTAAATCCCAAATACTATATCTATATTGAAAGGAAGCAGGATTCTTTTGAAAGACTGCACAAGACACCAAGCCCAGAAGAGGCAGCCCTGGTCCAGATATCCAGGTTGGATGGGGCTCTGAGCAATCTGTTCTAGTGGAAAGTATCCCTGCCCACCGTAGGGGGATTGGAACTAGATGACCTTTAAGGTCCCTTCCAACCCAAACTATTCTATGTTTCTATAAGTGTTCCAGAAGGAACACTTAATGCTCAGTGATGAGCACTGAGCTGCCAGTAACCAAGGAGTCTTGTTAACTGTAATCCAGAACTGAATTCTATATTTCATTATCACTTCGTAATTTCATTTCCACACATAATTAGAAACTTACCTTTATATGTTCCTTACTCGGTCTTTGTTCTAAAATTTTTACAATGTGGTGATAGAGGCAAATTTAGGTGAAGCTAGCAAAATTGGGGCTTTCTATTTTTCAGAAATCAGCAAGTCTAAACAAAGCACTGTGCACGCACCTTCAAACACAGCTAGAGAATTTGGAGGTTGGAGGTGATATGTTAAGGTTCTGGGTCTTGGGAAGGTGTTTCCACAGATCAACACCCTCTCTGCAAAGAAACTTTTCAGAACTCCAAGCAATATTCCAAACATCACAACTTATTTTAGTACCCTGATTCTATTCTTGTGTTTTGATTTGAGGATTTTTTGGAGATGCCTCCTCGTTTTAAAGTCTGACTAGTATAGCCCCGACACTGAAGGAGTGCTCTTTTTTTTTTTTTTTGTGGCTGTTGGTTTATTTGAGGGAAAGAATGTTTGCATAAAGACATTTAGCCTAACTATATTGCAATTCTTGTTTATTAATTGCTCAGTCATTAGTATTTCCTGAAATTATTCCAGTGTATTCCCTTACTAGAAACAAACCGTGTGTATCCTAGCACTTACCTGCTCCAGGAACACTCGTGTTAGGAATTAGTCTTTGCTACTGGTATTTCAGCAGCATTTAACACAAGTGGTTGTGGGAAGTCACTGCTTTATTAGATGCTTTCTCTTTGTTCTTTTTTAACCCTATTATTTTTAGAAGAATTTTTCCATAATCTTTACTGTAGAGGAAGGAGAAAAGAACCTATGCTTAAAACAAAAGCAAAACAAATCATGAAGAACCCCACTCTTTCTCACCTTAGTTTCACAGTTTTTCTGTTCAAGGAGAGCTGTCTCACTTCCGGTACAGGACAGGAGACAGTTTGCTTTCCATTTACTGGAAGAGGTAGATTGGCTGCTAATGCTCCTCAGGAGAGTGAGCATTCACAGAAGACAACTCAGCCCATCAGCTCAGCGTTTCCTCCCAGACCAATCTGAAATGCCAACAGAGCCTCTCAGACATGTAAACAAAACTGTGCTTAGCTCTCCTGATCTTATTGGAAAAACAAAAAAAAAATTCAGTTTGACATTAAGATAAGGCAAATTGTCAGAAGGAGATTTTGGAATGGCTGAAGAAGAAGATAAGAAACAAATGTGTAGGACTCAGATGTGTTGCATGGTAACTTTGGATGTGGGGCTTTGCATCTATGTGCTCTCTTCTGCTACTTCTTAATACTCTTACTCAGCAATGAATTCTTGCTTCTAAGCTTCCTTTGAGTGAAAGCAGCGTGAGTAAAGGCAGAAGACAGCAAAATTCCCAAAGAAGACAGCACAGCTTGCTTTGCTGGCTGAAAGGAGTAAGGGAGAGGTAGGACGTAAGCTAGAGGAAGGTAGGAAGGTGAGGGTAACAAAAGAAATAATGCTGTTCTTCCTTCAGCAAACATTCAGCTTTTCTGCAATGCAAAGAAGCCTTGAGATTCTGGACTTCACAGTCCGACAAAAGAAAAAATTATGACTCTCAGTATCAAACAAAATTCATAAATTCTACAAAGATTCCCTAAGTTATTGTGGGGTGAAAGAATGGATCTACTTTGGATCAATTTTATGACAAGTAAAATCTCACCACTACCTATTGACCTTGCTAGCATTTGAGGGAGATGTGAGTCAGCTTTAGAAAACAGGCTTTAAAACAGTATGATGTAGTAAAACATACTCAGTAAAATGGTCCAAACTCTGAGTTAAGAAAAGGACATGTCAGAGTTCATTTTTTCACAGGACATTGAATCCACCACTGTAAATCACCACCATCATCCAGTTTTGTCTGTCAGTGATCTCACCAACAGGAAAACACAAATAATTCTAAGCATTTTGTCTGTCACTCCATTTGTTCAACTCTTCCCTGGAACTTGTATTAACCCTCTTAGCTTATTTCAACCAAATTTTCTTAAGAAAGATCACAAATAAATTAGGTTTGGTGAAGTTCCATGTTTTCCTGAAAATCACCGTCTGAGTAGTGAGAAGAAATGCCCATTAGTTATTACACAAAGAAAAGCTGCCGATGGAATGTAGCAACATACATACTGGTTAATCAAGTGATGTTTACCTGGGAGCATATTAGCATAAACTCAATAATATGACATTTCTATCCAACAAAACCAACTACTATAAGCAAAGTAAACATGTTCTTCATGGCTCACTCCCTAATGAGTGAGCCAAACTGAGAGACTTGGTGTTTTCACTTAAATGCAGTCAATTTTGTGGGTTCAGGGCAGCTGGAAAAAAAAAATCTTAAAATTTTGAGGCAAGAAAAAAGATTGGTGATAATAGAACTGATCTCCAGTAAGAACAACAGTCAGAGCTGTTCCCAGTGCTGACCAAACTTGAGATGCTGCCTCTGCAGATTAAAGCAAAACCTCAAACCCACTCTTTCTGTTCCATCTAAGAGATATCTATTAGTCTCACCCACAAAAATACAATAAATCAGACTTAAGATTAAAAGATATAACTAGAACCTTCATGTAACTTTAATTTTAGAAAGACAGAACCACATATAATGAATGCTAATAAAACTTTAATACATTTCTGGCAAACATTTCAGAACTGAACTGAAGCAGTACAGAAAGTGAAAAAGTAAAACTCTACTTAAGGGAGAGATACTTGGCTACTGTGATAGATACTGAAGAGAAATAACTATGGGCCAAACTGTTAGGAATGGAGCATTCAAAACAAGTAAGAAATAAAGGTGACAGGCTGAGACTATCTTCCTCCTTGTCCCTTTCAATGCTTTCTCTAAGAAATGGGTTGTTTGAAGGAGAATTTTAGACATGATATGGTTGCCACATTCCCACAATCAGCCAAAGAAGTACAG